ACTCGTTACGAAACGCGGCAGAGAAAGTGTCCAAAGTGTAACTGTGCTTTTGGAGCAAACGATATCAAACGTATATACATAAGTTAGCTAAATATTGGTCGTTACTTTTGTTTTCGTTTGATTTTGCCCCATTCCCTGTAAACATATTCTATTGAAGTGTCAGTTAATTCTTATATTTCAAGTTTCAATTTTATGCTAGATTAAACATTTGTCGGTTATATCCGTTTGTGGACCTCCATGTCAGCGTGGATAATTGCTAGACAGATGATTATGGCAACTTTCATAAACAACTTCATGCCAACTGCGCAGTGCTTCAATTGGTAGTTGATTCCTGTTGTCTCCTAACTTTAAGTGGCATAATTGTAGGAGGTATGTTAGCCGTCTTTTTATTGTAAGTTCGTATTTTACGGAGATGGTTATAGATTTCGAAGCTTAACACTGTTCTACTGAGTCCATTATTGCATTAAATCAAGAACTATAACTCTCGTTGATATTCGTTATGCTTCATAAAAATGGATGCTCTATAATTGCGCAAAAGCCACTACCAATTGTGTCTGTTCTAACTCGCATGCACAGAGCAAGCAAAATATCGCATTCAGCATTATTTTATCTGAATCGTTTGAGTTAAATGCTTCAATCTTGATCATATGGTAATTGCCTTATTTTAATTTTTGGGAATACACACTGAGTTTCTGCATTTTTGAACGAAAAGAGGCCGAATTTTTCTACAAGCAGGATTAGAAAAAATTTTCTACTGGAACAGTTATGTTGCAATCGCACCTACCTTACCGCTACTGTGTTTGTGAGGTTCCTTTGTGTCCATGTTACTGACTTGAGGCCGGCGTAATTTATCGCAGAAAGAAGATGCTGTCGTTCTTGAGCAGCACAAACATGTGCACTTGCTCACTTTAGGTAGTGACTAAAGCATGCTCCTGCTGAAAATCTGCCAAAGACAATGTAATAGCAATACATATTTCCAATATTGATGAACAGGGTTATCCCATGTACTCAGACCTAAGATGGTTGTTGCTCCGATAAGGTCGAAGTAGTTATGAGTGGTCATAGATTTCCTCAGTGAATCAACTGTAACGAAGCTAAAGCTGGTAGAAAATGTCTGCTGGGCAATACTATTTCCATCCACTTTGATGGACTGATTAACGGTTTATGAAATGCTGAGCAGAAAAGTGCCTTGCTCATTCTTCACTGAGAAAAACGTTGGTCAAACATAGCGGAAATTCGGCATGTGACGATTAATACTGGACCCTGCAGCACGTCGGAATTGTCTTTATTAATTAATTCTTTTCCAACCGTTCAACCGGCACCCGTACGGTGAATAATCAGTCTTCATAAAGCGAAGGGTCGTGGATCAAAAGAAAACAATTTCCATAACATGTCTGCTCTTAGGACAGTTAACCGCATAACTATTGTGTGCGTTACTACCCCAGAAAGAAGAGAGAGCATCCGCCATTTTGTCATTCCTTTGTAACCGAATGTTTATGTCCTTATCGACAACGATGATGTGACAATGAGTGACTATGCTGTTACCGAGATTCTTTCTAGCCACGCCTTTTCATGTTTCGATGTTTGCTGTGAGTATGCATTGAAATTATCCAAATCATAGATTGCATACCCTGCATCTTATACACACGCAGTTTCTCCAAGAGGGACTCATACTACTTCTTCTAAGTTCTGGATACACACCTGTAATGAAGTCACAGTTTTAGCCTTTAGTAACTTCAGGTGAAGGCTGATAACTCCTCTTATGCAAGGCTTCCAGTCAATGATTTATTCGATCAGGTCCATTATGCCAGAATGCAGATACCGAAGTAAAAGTCTACGGATCATCGACACCTGAGTAGAATAACTTTCACCTGCATAGATTCAGATTTTCACAGCCATGTCGCTTCGTTTACGACAGCCCAACTTTGTCGAGCAAACCATTACCTTGCAAACTCATGAAATAGCCTTTGATTTTTCCTCATGAATGAAGAAATACTATATTTCTAACAGTGAGCTCCAACTGTTGGCATCTTTTTCGCCGAACCTTTGCTAACGTACTATTTTGGCATCCCGCAGTCTGTTTTTTCCTTTCATGATGGGCAGCGGCTCCGTTGCTGAATGGTACATTCGTCGTGTCCTCCTCGATTTTGAGCAGCCGTCTTGCGTCGTTATGCCACGAGATGTCAGAATGCGTGAGGTATGTTCTGATTGCCTACCTTTCGCAATTTGCTATAGATTTTTAATATCCTGCTCATCTCTTGCAAATCCGGACGACGATCGATCCGAAATAATATTTGATAACGTCAGCACCATAAGGTGCATGAGGCTAAGTCTTATAGAAGAGCCAAACACAGTCACAAACTATTTTTCTTTTATATTCAAGAACGGGATTCGTAAAAGAGGTTTAATGAATAGAATTACAATGTGAATTAATTTTGTTCTCAAGTAGCCATATCTTCTGTACTATTTAGTCACATAGTTTCATACTGTAGATACCCATGTATTATTATTAGCAGCTCTCGTTCACGCCAAAATTTGATCATTTGCCCATTTTCTGTGGCGGATGTTCGTGGTAAGGTGTGCATTTTACGTTCTCTTATATATTGTTTATAAAATCACTGATAATCTATGTAATTTTGTAAATATTTGTGGCACTAATCAAGCAAATAGAAATTGTCGTTAAAAGAAACAAATTGTTTAATGTTCTTTGAAAGATACCGTAGAAAGCTGCGTTCTGCTGGGATTCCGAAACTTCGGCTATTTTGTGTAATATTTAATTTCTTTGCGGGATGTGAGATATAATTTTTTATGCTTTACTGTTTCATTCCCTTGAAAAAATGAATTCTCCGTAACAGTGTTAATGAGAAATATCTGCAGTTAGCGGTATTCTGGTCCATACCATATAACTACGCCCAGAAGTAATTGGTTTAATTCTCAAAAACATGTATAAAATATGATTTGTAGCTTTTTTAATTCAGTATTTGATAATGCTCCCAGATTTTCTATCCGCGAGCGTTAATACTCTTTATATTAATCGAGTGGTAATGACAGACAAATCGGATCTGCGTCATCGGTTTCAGCCACCCAGCAGCTTCTTTCCAATTATCTGATTTATTTGCTGGTAAGTCAGACGAGATGGTGAAATGTCTTTTTCTTTCGAATTAGCCTGATCCGGTAAGTGTTGATCAATAAACCCAAAAATTGGCCGAAATTCTGAGTCAGTTAAAGCGTACGAATAATGATCTAAGGAATCACATCCAAGCTTTTGAAGAGGAATAGGCTAAGTAGTGCTTCGTGTTCTGGCATCAGTCAAACACGTTTTTGACTACTGACGATAAGAGCCGTTGTTTCGATATCTTGTATGGATCTTAGTGACGATCTCAGCTTTTTCATCGTCGATGAAGAATTTTGAATTGAACTGAATGCTTATTACTCTCGTTTCGTCATCTGTGACCGGTTATTTTTCATATTGCTTCACATGACTCTTGAATGATTTCCATAACGCAGAAGAAAGTTTGGAGAAGGCCTAGGGAAATAAATTTTCTCTTGATGTTCATTAACCACATCCTTAGCTACAAGCAAGCCTTTAACTTGGTGCAAAGAACGGCTTATCCCAAAGGAAAGCATAGTAAATTATGGTGAGATACGATAGTCGCAATTTTGCTCAGAGTTCAGGAAATACGAGCTCCCGGTTATTTTGAAATCAGAGTGTTTTCAATAATTATAGAGTTTTTACGTGATTCAGTTTCTTCATAGAAATTAGTTCGATAAAACTTTTCTCCATTAGAACGTCTCTGAAAATTCAGGCAGAGCAGGGTGACGTTTGCACTTTAATTGACCATTTAGATAGAGATTGACGAAGTTCGGGTCTTTATCTTTTAGATTACTTATTTTCGTGTAAGTAAGATTTGTGTCTATCATGCATTTTGTCTAGGGCTGGTTAGGTTACCTTAGTACGCCGCAAATAAAAACAAGTTCTGTGACTGGAAGTAGTGTCGAATCAGTCAGTCACTTTCGATTACCGCTGATCACTGATCCTGATCCAGTGCCAGTGTTTGAGTTTCGGCGGAAGACAACCTAACTCTGTAGCAAAGTCTCTCGAGACATTAGTCCAACATCATTTCTGGCAGTCCCTCGGGGTCTTCGGTCTTCCGGTTGGTCAAGTTGTAGCTGCTTGACTAAGCTTTTCTTTCAGGAAACATTCGCAAAACGTCTCACGCCCTCAGTTGTAGGTAAATATAGTCGCCTTTAATGTTTTTTGTACTGTTCATCGGTCTAAGATCTGACTAAGCAAAACCAACTGTTTGCACCGTTTAACTGTTGTACACCGAACGTTATAAACTGCTGCTGTTGCTGAAATTGAACCTATTTGTTATAGCGTGCAATGATGAATACGCAGATTGAAGAGAGCGAGAGCCGAGTCCAAGATATGAACTACGAAGTCCAGAATAATCATGTGCACGAAGAACAATCTGACTGCGGACCAACTGAAGTAGCTGACCAACTCGTGAAGGCACAGAACGCGACGGTGAACACCGCCGAAAAGTCGGAATCGAATTACTCTAGTCGTAGCCAAATCGAAGATGTGCAGGAGAATCTGCAGGAGCAGTATACTCTTGAAGAGCTGCAGGAAATCAATGAGAGACCTAAGGATGCGTTGATTGCCCTAGAAACGCTGAAAAGTCAGGTACGTAATGAAATTTTTGGATTTCTTTGGTATTTAATCTTAAAGTATGCTTATGCATCCGTGTATGTCAAATGACGTAAGTATCATTCCTCGAAGGGCCTATTTAATGGCTAATGCTCCGCCCTTTGCTGCTAGTTGCTTATGGGGGGGGGGCGGACATATGAGCGTACTAACGACCAAGGGACATTGTTCGTAATCGACATGAGGTGGCTCTAGCGAACAGAACGACGCGAGATGCATCTGACACTGCCAATATTCAAATGCCATGGAGCTGTGGCCTCGTTAAATGCTCTCCCCCCATATGTGATAGGGAACAGGAGGGTGTACGATACGCCATGAAATCTGGTCTTGGAAAAGTCATTGATTGTTTGATATCCCATGTACGTACGTATGAAAGCTAATGATATTTATGCAACTCTCGATCACTGATAAGTCCAACATGCGACGTAATTCTTAATCAATGGTGTAATTTCACAATTTAGTTATGCTCAAAAGGGGAAAGTGTCGAACGAATTCGTAGATACCTGTTGCAGACGGCGAGTGCTTAATGGTTGATGGTAAAGACAAATTTTGTTCACCAGAACTATTATCGACTTAACGTCGTACTGCTGAGCTGATTACTTATAGAGGCAATGGAGTTTCATTAACTGGCTAATGAAGGCTAGAAATTCCAGCTGCAGTCTGGTCGCAGAAACAAGAACTTGTCGCATGTAAACATTTCAAGTGTAAGTTTTTCATAATTGTTTATTTCGTTTAGATTCATTATGTACCGGAGGAAAACGTCCTGAGCATACCCGAGTATGTGCGATTGCAGACTCAGTATTCGTTGCTGTACAACGAAAGCGAAAATATGTATGAACGAGCCAAAAATCTTCGCGAGCAACTTCTCATCGTCAAAGAAGGACATCAGAAACAGATCAAGCAAACAGAAAACGAAGAATATCTTGCTCAGCAACAGTTTTGCTCAGAAATGGTTGTGCTTCAGAACAAACTATCGCTACTTCGACATGAATACGAAACGCAGCGCATCGAATTTGAGCAGAATATGGCCATGAACGAGAACTCGAATCCGGTCTGTAAGGAAACTCGACAGCTGGTGGCAGGTTATAAGGTTCAAAATGAGCAACTGAAGGCAGAAGTGTCCAGACTGAAGCGCAAATGGAAGGACGCCGTCTCAGTCGTTAGCGAAATTCCAAATGGGCTGAAACAACTAAGAACAGCGAAGGACGGCGCCATCATTGTTCTTCTTGTGCCAAGTAGAGCCGATGAACACGGAAAAAAGCCTTTGTCAAAGGAAGAAAAACATTTTGGCCAGTTGAACGAATCGATGCATACCAAAGAGTGCCGTATTACCGAACTAAAGAAAAGGGTCAAAATGTTACAGGAGAAATATAGAGTTTCCCAGATGACCACCGATAGCTTTCAGAGCGCGAGAAGTTACGAAAAAGAGATGATTGAGGTATGCGGTTGATTATACCTTTGTTTCAATTGTATAGTTTCTTTTTCAGATCCGTAAAGTTATCGAGTTTGAAAACCATCGATTGATTTGCCACATCAAAAATGTGTATCGAAAGCACGCAAACGAAGCCAATAAGCACGCCAAAAAACTCGAGAAACTACTGAAACGCTTGAAAAGCGATGCAACGATCAGAGAACAGGTTTAAATTTTTTTCTGCCCCCTGGAACTGTGATAAATTTAGTCTGACACATGGTTAAGAGTTCAGAAACATG